ACACCTTTTTTATTTTTATTTTTAATTTGAAGAAGATCTAAAATACGATTTAAATGTGAAAAAAATAAAACAAAATTAATAAAATAAAATAACGAATAAAACCCCCCAAAATTCGCGTGGTTTTCAACAAATTTTGCCTGACATTTCATCGAGCCATTAAACTCATCCTTGGGTGTGAAAAAATGTCCTAAGGGTTTGGATGGATACAGAGATCTAAGGTTTTTAACGGATAGATTTTAAGAAGCTCTCGGGGTTCACGTCCTTTGTAACTTTTTCTAAAAGCCGCGCGTAGGGCCCAGAACTTCGAACACTAAAAAGGAGCTTAATCCCACCTCGGGCAGAATGAAACATCTGAAATTAGTTAGAAAGAAGCCACCCAGAGAAACCCTGAGCTTACGTTCACGAATGTCATTTAAATTAACAAAGCGTCATAGATAAAACTCCTACTGTGTTCTCTCGCCTTAAGGCTGAATATAGACATTTATTATTATTATTATTATTATTATTATTATTATTATTGGAAGTACATTTAATCTAATGGTTAACGGCTCAGAACGTGAAACCGAACGTGAAGCCGAGATTATTCAAACATACTTTCACACAAATAGCTTTGGGGAAGGTAAGAACACATATCTTCACCTTCCGGCTACAGGCCGGTTTGATTGGGATCTCTAGCCTTCGTTGGCAACTAGTCTAGGAGAAGTTCAAAGATGATTTGATATTTCAGCCACCAATGCAGTGCAAAGATACAAAGTTGGTATTATTATTAAAAAAAAAAAAAAAAAAACTTTTAACAGAATATACAGAATTTTCATGGCGTGTTGGGATAATTCTGAAAAATATTGACCCGGCGTTTTCTGTTTCTACACAAGAATAGGCACGGTGGATAAATGGATAGCGGCTCGGATTGAGGAATCGGAGAGCCGAGTTCGAATAGCAGTCGAATCCATTACATTCTCTTACGTGATAGTACCCTTGGGAAAGATATGAATCCTCTTGTTCTCCCCTCTGCTATGGGTAAATAGCAGGACAGACATGATTCTATAGCCTTGGATGGCAATTGGTCTACCGTGGAAAGAAATGGCAAACAACTGCGGGAAAATTTGCCTCGCCGATACATGATCGCCTAAGCGTGCATCACGCATGACACATAACTGACTGATAAAAGAATAAGGTGCTAGACACAAAATAGGAGTTAGTAGTTCGGTTCAAACTGTTCCTGGGTCTTTTGAACAGGAGTAAATTTTCCCTGGTTAGGACAAGTTTTCCGGTTCCTTCTAAAGTCTTCCTAAGTCCACTTGAACACTAACGTTTTCACCAAAACTCTGAAATTTACGATTTTCTTCAGGGTTCGCCTATCGACTGGTTCACACTCCTCCTTGTCTATTTCTATCCGAAACGTAAATATGACAATTTCTAAACAATTCATTTTTTTTTTAAATTTTAAATCCTACATATTGGATACCGGTATTTGAGTGGACGTTCCGTTCATCTTAAGTGTACGTATGTATGTGTAATTGACATAGGTAACAACACAAACTGACACGCGAAGACGCGATACTTTAAAAAACCGATATGACACGCGAAGACGCGATGTCAAGAAAATGATGAAAACTTACATTGGCCAAAATTCGCACACGTAAACGATAGTCGCTTTCATGAAGGTATACCCGATCATTTCGGTGAACACTAAAGTATTAAAAGAAATGACATATATCGTTGAAATAAAGAAAAGCTTCCGAAGTACAATCTTATGTCTAATCTATCTATATATATATATATATATATGGCAATCAATGTGTGAAATTCTCTTCATAGAGGATGAAGACCTTTCAAAAGAAAGAGCTCTAGTTCGGTAGCGTCACTGTTAGAAAAACGAATCTAAATACAAGCCTTAATCTTTCATACGTCAAATTACTGTTCATCACCTCGGCGTTTCGGGGACTTTCTTCATACGTAGATATTCTTCTAGTGAGTAGGTAACTCCGGCATTACCATCTCGGTTAGGGTGTTTATATAACTTCTTGTGATCCATTTGTTCTGTGTGTGCACATTCTGAGCTCAGCTGGATCGACTACCTGTTTACATATTGGTGGTAGACACTGATATCCTTTGAGCTGTGATTCTGCATTTGATGGCTGTTCAAGGACATATGGCACAGTGGATAAAAGCGTTGGCTAGATCCAGTGACCCGGTTAAGGCAGTAGAAATCTTGGAGAGGGGAATTAACAGGAGATAACTGATAACTGACATCCATTAAAAACATGGCACTTGGAACTAGAACGGTCTACCCCAGTGAGCGAAATAAAGGGTTCACTTCGATATTCCAACGACCTGAAGAAGGTTAGACCGTACAACGGCCGAAACGTTGTAATAAATATGGCGACAAAATGAGGACAATTGTCCGAATAATGTAATTAGTAAAACCCTTTCTTTTCGTTTCGTTTCGTATCATTTCTTTTCATCATTCGTATCATTTTATTTAAGATTTCTCTGGCTTATTTTTTGTATTTTTATTCGCATTTTATTTATTCATTTTAATGGACTTTTTTCGTTCTTTCTTTCTAGATATTTGACCTCTTTCGATTTTACGTTCGATTTTTCTTTCAATTCTACGTTTCTTTTTGTAGGCCTATCCAACTTCGATCTTCTCTTTAATTTATCATGTGTTACAATTCATTTAACATATTCTTTTCCTTGAAATGAATGACTTCCTTTCTTTCTTCGTCTAATTTTATTCATAATTTAATTCTTTCCTTCATTCTTATCATTGTCTCTTTCTCTCTCTTTATTTATTTTTCTTTCTCTCTTCATGTCCATGATTCCACTTTTATCTCTTTAAATATTCCTCTTTTTTCCGTATTGATTCTTTCTTTTTACTTCATATATTCGTCCATCTTTTTTTAACTTTTCATGCTTTCATCATTCTTTCTCTAATACTTTCTTTCTTTCTTCCATTCTTCCGTTTTTTCTTTCTTTCTATCTTTCTTTCTTCATTTCTTTCTTCACTGCTTGCTTCTTTCTTCATTGCTCCTTTTCATTCTTTTTACGTCCTTCCTTCCTCCCTTCCTTCCTTACTTTCTTGCTTCTTTCCTTCGTTCTTTCCTTCGTTTCTTTCTTCACTGTTTGCTCTTTCTTCATTGTCTCCCTTTCTTTCTTTTTACGTCCGTCCTTCCTCCCTCCCTTTCTTTCTTTTCTTTCTTTCTTTCTTTTCTTTCTTTTCTTTTCTTCACTGCTTGCTTTTTCTTCATTTCTTTCATTCTTTTTTGTCCTTCTTCCTCCCTTTTTTATTTTCTTGCTTCTTTCCTTCGTTCTTTCCTTCGTTTCTTTCTTCCTGTTTGCTCTTTTTCATTGTCTCCCTTTTTTCTTTTTTACGTCCGTCCTTTCCCTTCTTTCTTTCTTTTTCTTTCTTTCACTGTTTGCTTCTTTCTTCATTGTCTCCCTTTCATTCTTTTTTACGTCCTTCCTTCCTCCCTTCCTTCCTTTTTTCTTTTTCTTTCCTTCGTTCTTTCCTTCGTTTCTTTCTTCACTGTTTGCTCTTTCTTCATTGTCTCCTTCTTTTCTTTTTACGTCCGTCCTTCCTCCTCCTTTTCTTTTCTTCATTCTTTCTTTTTCATTTCTATCTTCACTGCTTCCTTTCTTCATTTCCTTTCCCTTTTTTACGTCCTTCCTTCCTCCCTTCCTTCCTTACTTTCTTGCTTCTTTCCTTCGTTCTTTCCTTCGTTTCTTTCTTCACTGTTTGCTCTTTCTTCATTGTCTCCCTTTCTTTCTTTTTACGTCCGTCCTTCCTCCCTCCCTTTCTTTCTTTCTTTCTTTCTTTCTTTCTTTCTTTCTTCATTTCTTTCTTCACTGCTTGCTTCTTTCTTCATTGCTCCCTTTCATTCTTTTTACGTCCTTCCTTCCTCCCTTCCTTCCTTACTTTCTTGCTTCTTTCCTTCGTTCTTTCCTTCGTTTCTTTCTTCACTGTTTGCTCTTTCTTCATTTCTCCTTTTTTCCATTCCTTCCTCCTTTTTTTTTTTCTTTCCTTTCATTTCCTTCCTTCCTTTTCCCATTTCCCTTTCATTCTTTTTTTTTCTTTTCTTTTCCTTTTTCTTTTTTTCTTTCCTTCTTTCTTTCTTTTTCTTCTTTGCTTCTCTCTTTCTTCATTGCTCCCTTTCATTCTTTTTTACGTCCTTCCTTCCTCCCCTTTCTTTTTTTCCTTTCTTTTTCTTTCTTTCTTTCTTTTTTTCATTTCTTTTTCTTCACTGCTTGCTTCTTTCTTCATTGTCTCCCTTTCATTCTTTTTGTCCTTCCTTCCTCCTTCTTCCTTTCTTTCTTTTCTTTCTTCGTTCTTTCCTTCGTTTCTTTCTCCCTGTTTTCTTTTCTTCATTGTCTCCCTTTCTTTCTTTCTTCTTTCCTCCCTTTCTTTTCTTTCTTTCTTTCTTTCATTTTCTTTCTTTTTTCTTTCTTTTTTCTTCATTTCTTTCTTCCCTTTCTTCTTTTTTACTCCTTTCATTCATCCTTCCTTCCTCCTTCCTTTCATTGCTTCTTTCCTTCGTTTCTTTCTTCACTGTTTGCTCTTTCTTCATTGTCTTTTTTTTTTTTTACGTCCGTCCTTTCCCTCCCTTTCTGTCTTTCTTTCTTTCTTTTCTTTTTCTTTTTTTCTTTTCTTTCGTTCCTCCCTTTTCTTCACATCCTCCTTTCTTTCATTCTTTCTTTCTTAGTTTCTTTCTTCACTGCTTGTTTCTTTCTTTTTACTTCCTTCCTCCCTTCCTTTCTTTCTTTCTTTCTTTTTTCCTTCCTTCCTTTCTTCACTGCTTGCTTCTTTCTTCATTGCTCCCTTTCATTCTTTTTACGTCCTTCCTTCCTCCCTTCCTTCCTTACTTTCTTTCTTTTTTCTTTCTTTCTTTCTTTCTTTCTTTCAATTCTATGTTTCTTTTTGTATGCCTATCCAACTTTCATCTTCTCTTTAATTTATCATGTGTTACAATTCATTTAACATATTCTTTTCCTTGAAATGAATGACTTCCTTTCTTTCTTCGTCTAATTTTATTCATATTTTAATTCTTTCCTTCATTCTTATCATTGTCTCTTTCTCTCTCTTTATTTATTTTTCTTTCTCTCTTCATGTCCATGATTCCACTTTTATCTCTTTAAATATTCCTCTTTTTTCCGTATTGATTCTTTTTCTTTTTTTACTCTCAATAATATTCTTTTTGTCTTTGTTTTTTTCTTTTTCTGTGATTTTTTTCTCCATTTTTTCATTCTTTCTTTGTTTTCGCCATTTTTCTATCTTTTTCTTTTCTTTCAAATTACATCTGTTTTTTTTTCATTTTTCTTTCTTTTTCTTTCTTTTTCTTTTTTTTTCATTTCTTTCTTTCACTTTCTTTCTTTTTCTTTCTTTTTTTTCATTTCTTCTTTTTTTATTTCTTTTTCTTTTCATTCTATCATTCATTCTATACTTTCTTCCTTCCTTTCTTTCTTTCTTTCGTCCTTTCTTTCTTTCTTTCTTTCTTTCTTTTTCTTCTTTTTTTCGTTTCTTTCTTTCACTTTTTTCTTTCCTTTCCTTCATTGTCTTCCTTCCTTCTTTTCTTTCTTTTTTTTTTACGTCTTCCATTGTGTTCTTTCTTTCCTCTTTCTTCTTTCCTTTCTTTTTCCCGTTTTCTTTCTTTCTTTCTTTCTTTTCTTTCTTTCTTTCTTTCTTTCCTTCACTGTTTCTTGCTCTTTTCTTTTCTTTCATTTCTCCCCCTTTCGTTCTTTTTCTTTTTTCTTTCTTTTCTCCCTTTTCTTTCTTTCTCTTCATTTCTCCCTTTCTTTTTCTTTTACGTCCGTTTATCTTTCTTTCCTTTCTTTCTTTTTTTCTTTCTTTGTTTCTTTCTTTTCTTTCTTTCTGTTTGCTCTTTTTTCTTTTTTCTTTCCTTCATTTTCGTTCTTTTTTTTTTCGTCTTTCCTTCCTCTGTTCCTTTCTCCCTTTCTTTCTTTTTCTTCTTCTTTCCTTCCTCCCTTTCTTTTTCTTTCTTTTCTTTCTTTCTTTCTTCATTTCTTCGTTTCTTTCATGTTTTTTTTTTTATTCTTTTCCTTCCTTCCTTCCTTCCTTCCTTCCTTCTTTCTCACTTTTTTCTTTCTTTCTTTCCTTCGTTTCTTTCTTCACTGTTTTGCTCTTTTTTTCATTGTCTTCCTTTCCTTTCTTTTTTTTACGTCCGTCCTTCCTCCCTCCCTTTCTTTCTTTTTTCTTTCATTTTCTTTCTTCTTTCTTTCTTCATTCTTTCTTTCATTTTCTTTTTCTTTTCTTCATTCCTCCCTTTCATTCTTTTTTCGTCCTGTTTCCTTCTGTTTGCTCCCTTCCTCCCTTTTCTTTTTTTGTCGTCCTTCCTCCTCTCCTTTCTTTTCTTTTTTCTTTCTTTTCTTTTTTTTCTTTCTTTCTTCATTTCTTTCTTTGCTCTTCTTTCTTCATTGTCTCCCTTCCTTTCTTTTTACGTCCGTCCTTCTTTTCCCTGTTTTCCCTTTCTTCATTGTCTTCTTTCTTTTTTTTTTATAGTCCGTCCTTCCTCCCTCCCTTTCTTTTCTTTTCTTTCTTTTTTCTTTCTTTCTTCTTTCTTTTTCTTTTTTCTTCTTTTCATCTTTCTTCTTTTTCTTCATTGCTCCCTTTTCATACTTTTTACGTCCTTCCTCCCTCCCCTTCCTTCCTTTCTTTCTTTTTCTTTTTTCCTTCGTTCTTTTTCTTCGTTTCTTTCTTCACTGTTTGCTTCTTTCTTCATTGTCTCCTTTCTTTCTTTTTATTTTCCGTCTTTCCGTTTCTTCCTCCCTTTCTTTTTTCTTTTTTTTCTTTCTTTTCTTTCTTTCTTTAATTTCTTCTTTTCTTCATTTGCTTGCTTCTTTTTCTTCATTGCTCCATTCTTTTCATTCATTTTTACGTCCTTCCTTCCTCCCTTCCTTCCTTGTACTTTTTTTTTCTTTTTTTTCTTCGTTTTTTCTCTTTAAATTTCTCTTTTTTCATTTTTTGGTTCTTTCTTCATTGTTTTTCCTCTTTTTTCCCTTTCTTTTTTACGTCTTTGTTTTTCCGTCCTTCCTTTCCTTCCTCCCGTTTTTTTTATTTCTTTTCTTTCTTTCTTTCTTTTCATTCATTTCTTTTCTTTCTTTCTTTTAAATTTGTTCTTTCTTTTAATCATTTCAATTTATGGTTTTCTTTTCTTTTCATTGCTTCTTTTTTTCATTCTTTTTTTTACTTTCTTTCTTTTCTTTCCTTCAAGAGACCTTCCCTTTCCTGTTTTTCTTTCTTTCTTTCCTTCCAATCTTTTGTTTTTAGTCTTTTTTTTTCTTTCTTTCTTTCTTTCTTTCTATTTTCTTTCTTTTTTTTCTTTCATTTCTTTCTTTTTTTTTTTCGTTTATTTTCTTTTTCTTTTTTCTTTCTTCTTTTTTGTTTTCTTCTATTTTCTTTTCTTTTTTCATTTTTTTTCTATTTGTCTCCTTTATTTATTTTCTTTTTTTACTTCCGACTTTGTCCTTCTTTGATTTCCCTTTCTTTTTCATTTTTTTTCTTTTTTGTTCATTTATTATTTTTTTTTTTTTATTTTCTTCACTGCTTTTTTTTCTTTTCATTGCTCTTTTTTCATTTTTTTTTTTTTAATTTTTCTTTCCTCTTTCTTCGTTTCTTTCCTTCATTCATTCCTTCGTTTTTTTATTTTTTCTTTTCTTGTTCTTTCTTTTTCTTTTTTTCGTTCTTTTCTTTTCTTTCTTTCTTTCTGTTTTCTTTTCTTTTTTCTTTCATTTTTTTCCTTTCTTTCTTGCTTTTTCTTTTTTACGTCCGTCCTTCCTCTTTCTCTTTCTTTTGTTTTTTTCTTTTTTTCTTTATGTTTTTTTCACTCTTTGTTTTTTCTTTTTTTCTTTTTTCCTCCTTTCTTTATTTTTTTCTTTTCTGCTTTCTTCATTCTTTCATTTTCTTTTTTTTGCTTTTTTCTCTTTTTCTTTCTTTTTACGTCCTTCCTTCCTCCTTCTTCCTTTTTTCTTTTTTCTTTCTTTCTTTCTTTCTTTCTTTCGTTTCTTTCTTTCACTATTGTTTCTTTTGTTTCTCTTTTTTCATTGCTCCTTCATTCTTTTTTACGTCCTGTCCTTTCCTTCTCGGTTTCCCTTTTTTCTTCCTTCCTTCGTTTTCTTCACAACCAGCTTTTCATTGTCTTTTTCGTTTCTTTTTCTTTTTTCTTTTCTTTCTTTTCCTTTCTTTCTTTCTTTCTTTTCATTTGCTCTTTCTTTCTTGTTTCTTTTTTTTTCTATTCTTTCCTCCATTCTTTCTTTCTTTTTTTCTTTCCTTTTCCTTTTTTTCTTTCATTCTTTCTTTTCTTAGTTTCTTCTTCCACTTGCTTCATTTCTTTTTTTCTTTTTTTACTTCCTTCTTCCGTTCTTTCCTTTCCTTTTCTTTTTTCTTTCTTTTCTTTTTTTTTTTCCTTCCTTCCTTAATTTTCTTTCATTTTATTTCTTTTCCTCGAAAATTTTTTCTTTTCTTTTTTCTTTTTATTTATTTTTCTTTCTTCATTCTTTTTTTCTTTCTTTCTTTTTTATTTTTCTTTATTTTTCTCTTCTTCCTCTTTTTCCTTTGAATTCTTTTTTTTTTCATTATTCTTTTCTTCCCTTTTTTCTTATTTTTCTTTGTTTTTTTTTTTTTTTTGATTTCTTTCCATTTTTTTTCTTTTTTTTTTTTTTTTATTCATCTTCTTTTGTCTTTTCTCTTCTTTTTTTTTTTTTAGGCCTTTCCTTTCTTCTGATCTTTCTTTTTTTCTTTCTTTCAATGGTTATTTCTTTCTTCTTCATTTTCTTTTTACTTCTTTCTTTTCATTTCCCTTTATTCTTTTCCTTGATATTCTTTTCTTTTACTTTTCTTTCCTTTTCTTTCTTTCTTTCAAATTCTTTCTTTCTTTCTTTCTTTTCATCTTCCTTTTTTTTCTTTTTTCTTTCTTTCTTTTCCATCATTGTCTTTTTCTTTCTTCTTTCTTTCTTTCTTTTATTTCTTTTTTTCTTTCTTTCTTTTTCTTTTTTTTTTCGTTTAGATTCTTTCTTCATTTTTTATCTTTCTTTTTAAATATTTGTTTTTCTTTTTCCGTATTTCTTTCGTTTTTTCGTCCTTTTATCCCTTTCTTTTCTTTTTTTGCTTTCTTTTTATCTCCTTTCTCCCTTTTTTTTTCTTGTCCGTCCTTCCTCCTTATTTTGTCTTTCTTTCTTTCTTTCTTTCGTTCTTTTCTTTGTTTCTTTTCTTTTTTTCTTTTTTTTTTTTCCTTCCTTCCTCCCTTCCTTTTTTTTCTCCATTTTTTTCTTTCTTTCTTTGTTTGTTTGTTTCTTTCTTTTATCCCTTTCTTTCTTTTTACGTCCGTCCTGTCTTTCTTTTTTCTTTCTTTTCTTTCTTTTTTTCTTTTCTTTTTTTTCTTTCTTTTTTTCTTCCATTCTTTTTCTTTCTTCCTCCTTTCTTTCTTTTTTTTCTTTTTTCTTTTTCATTTTTTCTTTTTTCTTTTCTTTTCTTTCTTTCTTTTACGTTCTTTTCCCTTTCCTTTCTTTTTCTTTCTTTCTTTCTTCATTTCATTTTCAATTTCTTTTTTTTTTCGTCCTTCCTTCTCCCTTCCTTCCTTTTCTTTCTTTCCTTCTGTTCTTTCCTTATTTTCTTTTTTTCACTGTTTGCTCTTTTTCATCATTCCCTTTCTTTTCACGTCCCTTCCTTCCTCATTCTTTTTTTTTCTTTCTTTTTTCTTTTCTTCATTTCTTTCTTTTCTTTCTTTCTTCATTTCCCTTTTCATTCTTTTTTTCCTTTTTTTCTTCCTTCTTTCTTTATGGTTTTTTTTCTTTCCTTTTTCTTTTCTTCTGTTTTCTTTCTTCATTGTCTCCTTTCTTTCTTTTTTCGTTCTTTCTTCCTCCCCTTCTTTCTTTCTTTTTTCTTTCTTTCTTTCTTTCTTCCATTTTCTTTTCTTTTCTTTCTTTTTCGTTCTTTCTTTCTTTTTTTTCCTTCCTTTCTTTCTTTCTTCTTCTTTCTTTCTTTTCTTTTCTTCTTCTTTCCTTCATTTCTTTCTTTCTGTTTTCTTTCTTTCATTTTCCCTTTTTTTTCTTTTTTTATTCTTCCGTTTTCCTCTTTTATTCATTCTGTCTTTCTTTCTTTCTTTCTTTTCTTTCTTTTTCTTTCTTGTTTCTTTCTTTTCCTTTTCTTTCTTCTAGGCCTCATCCCTTTCTTTCATTCTTTCTTTCTTATTTTCTTTCTTCACTGCTTGTTTTTTTCTTTTTTTTTCTTCCTTTCCTTCCTTCTTTTCTTTCTTTCTTTTCCTTCCTTCCTTTCTTTCTTATCTTTTTTTTTTCTTCATTCTTCCCTTTCATTTCTTTCATGTCCTTCCTTCCTTTTTCTTTCTTTTCTTTCTTTCTTTTCTTTCTTTTCTTTTCTTTCGTTTTCTTTCTTTCTTTGTTTCTTTTTTCTTCTATCTTTCATTTCTTTTAATTTTTCTTTTCTTTTTTCATTTACATATTCTTTTCCTTGAAATGAATGATTTCCTTTCTTCTTTCTTCTAATTTTATTCATATTTTAATTCTTTCTTCATTCTTATCATTCTTCTCATTTCTCTCTTTCTTTATTTTTTCTTTCTCTTTTCCTTTGATTTTTTTATCATTTTCAATTCCTCTTTTTTCCTTTATTTCTTTCTTTTTAGTTCATTTTGTTCTTTCTTTTATCTTTCTTTCTTTAATCTTATTTTTCTCTTTTTTTTTTTTTTCTTTCTTTTTTCTTCCATTCTTTCGTTCGTATTTCTTTCTTTCTTTCTTTATTTCTTTCTTTCTTCATTCTTCTTTCTTTCTTTCTTTTCTTTCTTTCTTTCTTTCAATGGTTTTTCTTTCTTTTTCATTTTTCAATTTATGGTTTTCATCTCTCTTTCTTTCTTTCTTTCTTTCCATCTTTTTTTTTTACTTTTTGCTTTTCATTCTTTCCATTTTTTCTTTCTTTTCTTTCTTTCTTTCTTTCTTTCTTTCTTTCATTCTTCGTTCTTTCTTTCTTTCTTTCTTTCTTCTATTCTTTCATTCTTCTTTCTTTCTTTCTTTCTTTTTCTTTCTTTCTTTTTCTTCCAATCTTTGTTTCTTTGTCTCTCTTTCTTTTTCTTTTTCTTTATTTCATTCTTCCGTTCTTTTTTTCTTTTCTTTCTTTCTTTTTTTTTCTTTTTTTTTTTTTCCATTCTTTCTTTCTTTTCTTTTCTTTTTTTCTTTCTTTTTTTTCTTCCAATTTTCAATTCTTTTGTTTCTTTCTTTCTTTCTTTCTTTCTTTTTTCTTTTTTTCTTTTCTTTTCATTTTTTTACTTTTTTCTTTCTTTCTTTCATTCTTTCTTTCCATCTTTTTTTTTTTCTTTCTTTCTTTCATTCTTCCGTTCTTTCTTTCTTTCTTTCTTTCTTTCTTTCTTCCATTCTTCCGTTCTTTCTTTCTTTCTTTCTTTCTTTCTTTCTTTCTTTCTTCCAATCTTTCTTTCTTTGTCTCTTTCTTTCTTTCAATGGTTATTTCTTTCTTTTATTCATTTTCAATTTATGGTTTCATCTCTCTTTCTTTCTTTCTTTCTTTCTTTCCATCTTTTTTTTACTTTTCATGCTTTCATCATTCTTTCTCTCATACTTTCTTTCTTTTTCTTTCTTTCTTTCTTTCTTCCATTCTTCCGTTCTTTCTTTCTTTCTTTCTTCCATTCTTCCGTTCTTTCTTTCTTTGTTTCTTTCTTTCTTCCATTCTTCCTTTCTTTCTTTCTTTCTTTCTTTCTTTCTTTATTCCAATCTTTGTTTCTTTGTCTCTTTCTTTCTTTCTTTTGCGTTATATTTGTTTTTATAGTGAGGTCGATCCTCATTGGGCGCC